TAACCGACTTAACCACCCAGGCACCCCTCCTTGTCTTAACTACATTAAGCGCTACAAATAAACTTTATCCAAATGATTTCTGCCTGAAATAATCATTGTTTTCAATCAATAAATTATTACACTTCAACTATATCATAGAGCCTCCATGTCAAGCGAGCAGATACAAATTGATGCCAGTTGTGTATTGAAAACGCTAAGCTTCACATAAATGTTTTCACTTTCCATCACACCATAGTTACCCTAGAATTCAGATTACTCTAAAACAATCACACCTACCAGAAAACTCATTCATATTTCCAATTTCTGTATAAAATACATATTTTTTTGCTTATTTACAGCTGTTATCAAACCTCCTGGGTATGATTCATGCATTTCAAATGTATTGAACATTACCATGGCCAAAGGGAAAATGTAAGGAGAAAATTTTTAGTGGTGCATATTAACATGTTAATGTTCTACAAATTATATCCTTAGGAAAAGAACACACAGACTTGTGTGTTGGAGAGAACATCTTCACATAAAGAAATACTTATCTTTAATATCTCACTTTCATATTTAAAGAACACTCATCTGGAAACAAAGATCCTGACTTATTATATAGTAGATAAGCACAAGAAAGTCAACTTTATTTTCAAACAAGTCTACAAGTATTGCTACATGTTCTATAAACCATTTTTCTAATAAGAAAATTATTTTTATCTCTTTAGGAGATCTAAAGATGACAAAGATCTAATTTCATTTGGGAATAATGTCTTAATTCTATCCCAAAGAAGAGATCTGACTAAATGAAATAACTTTAAATCTTCACTATTAAGTGTGGGGTCTCATTTAAGGGGTCTCTGAAAACAAAATAAATGCATGATTGCATGTATGTACATATTGGCATATATGTTTGATTACTCATCAACATGGATGTTATTCCAATATGTTAACGTTTTGGACAACAACTCCCCAAATTTGCAATCATAGTATGATACCTAAGTTTACCTATGTAAATTTGAAAAAACTGACCCAAGGCTTTGTGGGACCCTATGCAAAACCAGATGTTCAGATCCTTAGGCAGATTTCTGTAAACCACAAACCAGGAGTACAGAGAAGTATGGAAAGGGAAATAGCAAAATTTCTTTAGATAAGCTAGGGGATCTTGCAGACAGACTTCTCTAGAATGCAGCTCGCTGTATTCTTTCCTTGAAATGATGAGCCCCTAGTAAGGAATGCTTTGTAAACTGAACACAGAATGTTTTTTGACAATTAGCTATTATTTGTAATGCTGAAAAAGAGACGTTTCAAGCAAAATATGGTGGAAATTTTCATAGAAATACTCTATCCTTTGCACCAAAGTTTGCTCCTCCTTGTGGTCAGTTTTGCACATTTTGCCACCTAGTGGACAACGTGAAAACTACAGGATTCCTCCCCACTCCCACCCCCCACCCGCCGCTCCCGCCCCCACCCCCACCCCCAACTATGGATTTCCATACTCACCGGAAAGAATTGCCCAACTACCTAGGGCAATGATTTTGTTTGTTTTGTTCATTGGTGCTCCTAGAACAGTGCCTGGTACTCAGTAGATGATCACAAAATAATCGGAGGTAACTCCATTTAAAGACTATTCTTATGGAGAATGTAATTTAAAATATAGTTACAGTATGATATTGGTAACATGAGTTTCCTAACTAAATTGGAAGTTCCAAATTATTTCACAAGTAAATGGTGGATTCTATATTGTCAGGTTAGAGATGTATCTACTCTTCCACCCCAACTGCTCCAAATAAAACTAAATCTACCCTGGAAAATGCCCTTTTGCCTTTGTCTTAAAACCACGACTGGTTTTCTTCTTGCTTTGGGCTGTGATGCTCACTATTCCCTTTTTCTGTTGCCCCAAATTATGAAGCCCTTTCAGCTCTCTTTTTTAAAAAAGTATATATGCATACATATGAATATGTATATGTGTGTATATATATATATATATATGTATATATATATGTATGTGTGTATATGCTTTTTTTTTTTTCAGAATAGCATTCCATGTTTCTACTCCACTGGGCCTAAAGTGTTAGTGACTCTTAAACATATTTCTCCTGGCGTAAAGATTGGTGCTTTTAAAAAATACAGTAATGATCATAATTTTTAAATAGAATATTCCTCTAACGTCTTTTTGATTTTGAGACTTTTTTTTTGGAGATGTTTTAAAAAGCAAAGCATATGCCTGTGTTTCAGCATCTTAAAATTTGAGCCAGAAAAAATTCATTAGGTAATCTACCTCAAATTTCTTTCTCCAGAGGATTATATTCCATTCTAAAATCAGCAAAATATATATACATATAACATATAGCAGTATGCTAGCAGTTCATTAAAAGAACTTAATCATTTGTTTTCAAATCAAGCTGATCTTTGACAATAGCCTAACACAATAATGTATTGTTGAGATATAAATCATTTTTTAGCTGCAACTCTATATTCCTTATATAAAATTCATTTATGTTGCATAGAATTGAAACTCTCTACAGGGTTCATAGTTTTAAACAACATGCACACAAATCCAAATAAATATTAAGTCCAAAGCAATGACTTCATTTTGACCCAGTCAATAGGAAATACAACCTTACATACATAACTTGCCAATACATTTAGAATGACATCTTTGAAGAAGCCTACCTTTTTTTTTTTAGAATGATAAAGCTATGTTACGAATTAAAATATGCAAGATTCAAACACTTTGAAAATGGAAGTTGTAATGCAATTGCTTTCTAAGGTATTTTTGCCCTTCTAGGGGGACAAAAGGGGGTTTAAGTAACATTTTATAGGGACAATTGTTTCTTACCTCTCTGTGTAACTGAGTGTAACTAACATTCACATGCACATGTAAAATAACATACACAAGAAAAACAAGTTTAGAATACCATTTTAATTATTTTTTAGTGTATGTGGAATTACTTGCCTTTCTCAGCTATATCCCCAGGTCAAGGTCTATAGCATTTATTTGAACCAGCAACCTATCTTTTATTTTCATACAGGTCCCAGGAGGCAATAGTCATACGTTGTTACTCCAGCCTTCACAAAGGCAAAACAGTACAGAGCCCTGTCCTGTAATAGACAACATGGGACACACACACAATTTCAGTTCCTGTTACGTTGACAAGACTCCTTCAGGTAAAAAATGAAAACATTCTTTTATCATTATAAGGTTAGTGACCATTTTAATAGAATAAAAGGATTATTTCTGCTACATTGAGGATAGAAAGTTTAGGGTGTGAATATGTAGTAAAGATGTCTTTTCCTTTTATGATTGTGCTCATAAGCTCTCTTAGAGCTTATTTAGTTGAAATAAAGCTATCTCCATAATTTCGATATTTATGAATAAAGCTAATGAGGACACAGATGATATAGAGAGCCTGTCCAAATAATTCAATGTACATTTTTTGAAACATCAAAAGGAGGTAGGTAGGTGATTTTCACAGGCCGAGAGGTTTTACCTTTGAACATCAACAATATAGCATTATTTATATTTGCTTCACCATGGTGACGAAAGAGAAATTCTACATTTAGTTTACTCACCTTGCAGTAATGATATGTAACATTTTTTAAATAAATAGGAGTTTCAAAATTAATTTTCATGCCTAATATGCACAGTTTATGTGGGGAAAGACCATGAAGGTCACCCAAATATTCACACTTGTAAATTATGGAAGAGAGACAGAAGAGAAAGTCCAAGAAATATAATCTCTAAAGTTTTCAAAGTGCTTTCAAATAATTAATTACTTTAGATTTTATACTTTGATAACATTTTCTGCTTAAACAAACCATCCCTCTTTTGAGAGGGAGCCTTTTAAAAGATAAAAATAAATCAACATAGGTGATTACAATATTTGTTTAACTAAACAACAACGCTTCCATTCTGCTACAAAATAAATACGGCACAAGTAAACTGTATTTCATAAAAGTGTAAAATGTATAGGTGGGTGTTTCATATGGTCAGATATAAAATTTATTTAAGTTATGTTTTACAAGGAAGATTATACAGCATTTTCATATTGATTTTTAATGATTTCTTGCAAATATTCATGTATTGCTTGCCAACCCATGTCTAGGAATTAAGAAGAAAAGATTATTTAACCCAAAGAGTTAGTTGCTCTTTCTTGGCTTAAATGGGATAAATTCTGATTTCATCGAGGGGAATGCATTATGATAATTTCTAAAATATAACCATGCTTTTAGTGTTTTATGTCTGTGCCAGCAGTTAAAACATTTCATTTTAAAATAACTGTGTATGCACTTTGCACACTGTACCTTAGCCAATTTGACAAGAAGTGATATTAAAAAATAAATAAATAAATGAAATAACTGTGTATTTTTAAAAGTCAAATATACTATCTGCTGCCATAGTGTTATGATTTGATAGGGAAGCAATACTTTTTTCTGCAAAGTTTTACAAGAAAACGTCATCAATGTAGGAAATCTGTGCAAACGACTAAAATACATTTTATTAAATTGGCAATGTAATTTTTTCATTATAGCTATCATATAACTCTTAAAAATTAGGTGAACATTTTCTATATGGTTATCTTAAATGTTACGTGTGTCTTTCTAAAAACTTTTAGTTCCTTCTTCTTTTCGCTTTAAGGGTGCTCTGGCACGTGGCTAGCACAAAGCACCCCCGACCTGTTTCTGAATCTCAAGTGTGCCACGGGAGATTCCAAACGGAATTAAAAGATCACTCCAAGTCTTTGACACAATTGGAGTAATATTTATGAATAGGAGAGGGTTGTCTCCTTTCAGGCTTTGTTGAGCAGAAGCACTGATAGATCTTAGTATCTTAACAGACTGCCACCAGAACTAGGCATGTCGCGTGGCCTTAGGAGATTCTGAGTGTGTTGCGAGGGGAGGGCGAGGGAATTCGTAGTCTTGGGCAACTACCTCCCCGGGCCACTGGCTACACTTACAGGTGTGTGGGGAGGGGGGGCGGGGGGGGGACAAGGAGGGAGGGGGAATGGGCGGGAACGGTGTGATAAAAACAAGAGGCAAGTAGAGAACAAGGCTAAATGCCTCCAAGATTCCGGGATCTTACCAACGAGGAACACTTAAGGCATCCTTCATATAAGGTCTTCCTACTGCAGGGCCTGATGCCCAGACACAGGCCGCTTTTCAACGAGGCGGGGCCGTGGGGGTCGAGATGGTGTTCGGGGACCTAACAATAAAAGGAACGCGAGACACGTGTTGCGTCCCATGCCGTTTCAAGACCATGTCCGCGTAGCTTCCTGGCACCAAGTAGATCACAAAGTGGGAAGAAATAGAAACTGCAAAGGGGGTAGTACCCTCCCCCCAACTCTGCCTCAAGGGAAAATCCAAAACACTGGTGCCCGACTTCAGTTTAATTCTTTGCAATCTTTCTAAGTTTTGTGTTTTGTTTGCAGACAGTTTAAAAATAAATGTTTGAACTGCTGGGCTAGGAAACAAACGGGAACGAACCTGAAAAGGTCAAGTCAGCTTTCACGGTCCTGGTCACAGTTTTCTCCCTGGCCTGTTACCCGAGGACTGCCTGGAGGAGGCGTTTACTCGGACGCCGCCTGCTCGGGTGAGGCACCCTGCTGAGAACCGTGAAAGGCGAGAGAGGCGCTCTGGGATCTGATTGCTTTAAAAAAAAAAAAAAAAAAAAAAGTGTATTTGTAACCGGATGGAACCAGTCTCGCTCCTTCGTGGAGAGCGCAGTTTGGCCGCTTGCCTGGCGCTGGGGCTACGGCCGCAGTCGCTGGTGGGTTGTGGAGAAGTTCACGTCTTAAAATAAATGATCAGGGATAATTCTTTCCCAAGGCAGAAGGCCCGTCCCCCACGCCCGCTAGCAAGGCGATTCACATTGAACTCTAGGGCGCTTTGTTCCCACCGACCGGGTGCGGGTCTCGGATTTGCACGCGCCCTGGCTTCTCGACCGCTGCCCCCCGACCCCCACCCGGGCTCTGCTGGCGCGCGGCCCCCAGGACCTCCGCCAGCCTCAGCTTAGAGTTCCCGGAGGCCCGCGGGCCAGACAGGTCAAAGAACGCATATACTTTTCCATTAACCGAGGGGTTTGAAATTGAATCCAAGCTAGCAGGAAAAGCTGCCATCTCGCTGTGGAGCTGCAGAGCGTCGGGTGCGGAGGTTGCGGCAAGGTGTGCAGGTATCCGTCCCCTGGGCTGAGCAGTCCTGCGTTAACTCTGCCGCAGCTCCCAAATACAGCCTAACCGTCCAGGTTTACGGCCGACTTGTGTCACCAGCGCATAAATTACTGTCAGCCCGGACGGAGGGTGCAGAGCGATCCCGCACGCCCTGGACACGCCGGCCGGAGGCAGCTTAACTGCCGGGGGGCTCCGCGCGAAATTTCCGGACCCGGAGTATTTGCCCCAAAGAAATCTTTTCAGCCGTGTCACCTTGACCCCAAATACGTGCCTTGTACAGACACGCAAAAGGCGCCGGGGCTTCGAGAAGGCTCTAGCAACAGATCGCGTCTGCTCGAGACGGCCTGATTATTGTCCAAAAATCAGAGAATGCAAGAGCACATCACCATATCTCATTCTGTGCATGGGAAACCCTGAGCCCATCAACATTAAAGTGACATTCTCAAGGTCACATCAAGCAGTGGTAACACTGCTGCCTGATTTCTTGATTCCGCCTTTCCCCGCCTGACCCCCTCCACCCTCCTGCCTCTCAAATTTATTCCTTTAGAGATGACAGGATCTAAGGCTGCCTGTAAAGAACGAGTCACCATTTGCTGTCATTGCAAATTATCAGGATAATTTTCAGTGTGATATCTCCACTTATCCTCCCAGGAATGAACTTCAGATCTTTTCTCGTGCTACCTCACAATCAGACAAGAGGAATCTCAGGCAATCTCAGATAAGCGGGGTGCTAGACACCCAGTTCGCCTCCTGGCCTCTTGGGCCTCTGGGCGAGGGATTGCCAGCACCCATCTTTGTGAGGGAAAGCATTCTTGCAAAGCGGGAGGACTAGGAGAGATGAGGGTCAAAGAGGGTGGGCGCAGGCTTGGAGAAATGCTGTAGTGAGCAAGTGGGCAGGCAATCAACTTTCACCTTCTTGTAGCTATTAGAAAAGGGACTGGTTTTCGTCCAGCAAACTGTACCCTCAGGCGTTCAGGGCTTGACGTTATCGTGATTATTCCTCACTATTCACATTAATTATTTTAGGAAAATACACACCCCCCCCACGCTTTGAGTAAAGGGGAACACGAGCCATTTCAGATTCTTTGTCCAGTTTCCTTTTTGTTGTTGTTGTTTATTTTTTAAAAATCTGGGTTAGATTGTTGGTAGCCCCCAAAGCATTGATTTCTTACGAGGCCACAAAGTAGTGGTCTCTCCCTTGTTCTTCTCATTCAAATTCTCTTTCTCTGTCTCTGTCTCTCTCCCAGTCCAAGTAGAAAAGTAGAAAAGAGAGAAACCTCAGCCTTCAACTGTCAACTGTTTTCCAAACACCAGATTAATGTTCCCCAGGACTCGGTAGTAACGTGACCTTTCTGTTTTCAGATGTGTTTTTCAACATGTAATCGTTTGTTTGTTATGTCTCTCAGCATGGAATAAGAAAAGCTGGGGGAAGGGGTGCCTGTTGCCAGAGGGGGGAAAAATGGATTTGGAGCCTGTTTTTGTTCCCTGCTCAACACAGGAAAGCTCCAAGGGTTTTTATTTTTATTTTCCAGAAGATAATCCCCAGGAAAAAAAAAATCCACAATACTGAAACTGAAAAGAAATCTGAGCATTTGATGAGCAACAATTTAAAAGCAACATATCCCCAAATAAAAAATCTAATAAATGGCCTTTTTTTAATGAGAGGGAACTTCTGAGATGTGGGTTAACCCGTCCCCCCCCCCATTTTTTTATTTAGATAGTTACATAAGAAGTATTTTTTAAAATTATGTTTAAGCTTTTTGCTTATGATTTATGTCCCTTTTTGGATTGCTATAGTTCAATACTTTTTTTTTTAATTTGAGAAACAGGAAACCTTTGAGGTGTGTGTCTATATGTCACTATCTTCTAAAACTTACTCCTAAAAAGTTTTCAAAGCAATATGTTTACCAACAACTTGATTTCAAAGCCATAGGTTCTGAATGAAATTGACAACAACATACTTGAATTCGTTATTTGGCAGCCAGTATAACTATTGGATCATCGTTCCTAACATATTAAAATATTAAACAAGCAACGAGAGTTTAAGGCTTGTTGTAAGATGTACCTGAAGAAATTTAACAACGACAACCACCAGACGTCACATTTTAAAACAGTATTTAATTGAGACGGACTCCTATTAGAAAAGGTTTTATCCCAAATGAGAATTTAAAAAGCATATCACCCATCCTCAAAAGTGAATTCCTGCTAGAGAGCGGCCAGTTTTAAGCTTGTTTTCCCTCCATAAAAGATTATTAGGCTGCTTTCATGGTTGGTGATTAAGCATTTCACCAAGAACCTAAGACTAAATGGCTGTCCCCACTTAATCAATAGCTTTTATTGCTGGTATCAACCTCACTAACGACCCACTGTTGTTCCCCTACTCCTTATTTCTTCCTGCCTCTCACCACCCGTTGCCAACGCACCCCAAGCTCCCCCTCCACGCCCTTAAACTTGGAGAACTCGCGGTTCCCAGTCTAGGAAAGTATTTCCCGACAAATGGCTTTATTGCTGACTTTCACCCTCTTCCTTCTCTCTCCTTCCGTAACGGATGCTCTATCACCGGGCACCACTGCTGAACCCTCACTGCCCACACGGAGGCTTCGCCGCCGCACGATTTTATAGGCCCTTCCGCGGGTTTATGATTGGTTGCTGCGGTTGGAATGTTTATAGATAATAAACAACTAATCCATTTCTGGCCTAATGAATTGCCCCACCCGCGTGCCACTTTAACACCCGTAACTAGCGCCAGGATCGATCCGAGCAAATGAGTTGCGGGACCGAAACTACCCGACCTCTCTGGCGATCAGCATTTAAGCGGAATAACCCAAGGTCAGCAGACGCGTTCACCCATTTTCCAATTCCTCTCCCTCGAACACCCCCCCCCCCCCCATCAACTCGGGCCCTGCTTCGCCCGCTCCTCTCCCCACAGGTGCCAGGGACGGACCCCAATGAGGGGATGCTTCTGTGGGCTCTGAAAAAAAAAAAAAAAAAAAAAGCGACCCCCGCAGTCGGGGAGCCTGGGACGCGCTGCGACCTCAGCGCACCCGCACGGACCCGGCGTCCGTCCTGGGGACGCACCAAAGCTGGCGTCCGCAGCAGCTCAGTTTGGCCAGATCAGCCGCTCCGGTGTCAGGCAGCACACAACCTAGGGACGGTGTGAACCGTGCTCGTCCCGAAAGCGGTTCGCCCGCGCGCGGGGAGGAAGGCGCGCGTTTGCCAGGGCGCTCACCCCTGCTCCCCGACGGCTGAAAGGGGAGGCGGACAGGTAGTGTGGGAAGTTCCCAATCCCGTTAACACTTTGGAATCTCGTCCGAAATAAAGAAAGTGTACGTTCAGACTCCCCAGAGACCTGGAAAACGCGGAGGATCTGCCAAAAAGCATTCCAAGAGCAGAGGAAACCAACGTCTGGCTGAGATTCTTTTATACACATTATGGCAGCTGCGCATGGCCCCCGTCAGTAGCCAGGGCAGGGGGTGTGATGACTGTGACGGGGGCCGTGCAGGGGGCCGCCGGCACCAATCGCCGGCATCTCCTACGGTGTTGCGGTGGGAGAGGCAGCTGTCTGGTCTGGTCTGGTCTGTGAGCGACCCAGACAACGGGGACGTTCGCCACGGGCCATTCCCTTTCCTTTCCGTAGGCACCCAGCGGAGGGGAGCCGGGTGAGAGTCTCCAGAGGAAGGGCCAAGAGCAACAATCCTCTCGCGAGAGCGATTTCCAAAGCCCATGCATCAGCTGCATTTTGAATGAATAGATTTCTTTTAGGTAGACGGCAGTTTGAAAGCTCTGCAGCGTGGCGTTTATGAACTTAATTTTTACAAAGCGAATGTTTACGGCGCCTTCCCTCGGCGCCCCCAGTTCGCAGGATCTCTTCTAAGAACCCAAGGAAGGATCCTTAGAAGCGCTCACTGCCCTGCGCACCCCAGGTGTGACTTCGCTCCTCTTTATGAATAAAAGAGTAGGTGAAGGTGTTGTCGAGGCCGAATTTATTTTCGTGGGTGGCCTGGTCTTCTTGCTTTCACTGGTCATGATTTGCAAATCCGTCTGATCCTTGGTGGGGGGGGGTGGCTGCCGCGTGCGTGCGTGTTTGTAGGCGGGGAGGATTTCCATTGTTCTATCATTCAGTCGACAACTAGCTCCTGAATGCCCACGGGTCCGGGCATTGGGGACGCAGCAGTTCACAAAGAACAAAAACCTTTCCTGGAGCTTTCACTCTAGCAGGGAGGGTTAGGTGTGCCTTAGAACTCACTTTGGGCTGTACACTGAGAGAATGTGCTTTTAAATAAAAGCATAGGGCACAGTCCCGGCCACCTGGTTGGAACCTCTCTTGTTGTCACCTAAGAGGTTTCTTGATTACGTGTAGTTTAAATCACACTGCCTCCCTTTCCCTAGTCCTTCTACAATGCGCCAGAGGCACTAAATAGCAGACAAGACCCTCCATTTCTTTCCCCTCACAGGGCCCACTTCCACATGTGTGGTATTGGGGAGAAGGGCACTCCGTGCCACTGTCGACTAACGTTGGTCATTATTCAAGCCATGAGGTCAACAATTCAATATTTTTAGTGTCCCCGAAGGAATCTTGGCCCCGTGAATCTTCAGTGACACGAGGCCAGCTTCAAAACAAAAAGCAGGCCATGTTCCCTGGTGACAGAGGGGATTTTCTGTTTTCATCAGCATCCCTGTTTGGACTGTCCCTCTACCTGGGATCTCACTCTCCTCCACCCCTCAGGGGACATAAGTGTTGCCTAGGGAAGAATTAGCAGCTTCTCAGGGTCAGCCAGAGCTGGCCAGGTTTCTGCAGACAGTGGCTGATTCTGCTGGAAGGTCTTTTAGTCCCTCTCTCTTTCTCGGCTGAAAGCCTCCCCTTCCGTGGGAAGGAAAGTTGCCCTTTTAACACCAGGACAAGGAAGCTTTTGGGATCCAGGGGTTTGGCCGGCCTCCTTGCCAGCTTGTACTCTGACTTGCGTGCAAGGATACTCATTTAATTGCCCCTGATGCAAAGAGGATTTAAAAAGATCTGCAAAGAGAAACTCGAATAATAATAATAATAATAATTTTTTTTAAAAAGGCAAAAAGCGCACCGTGACCTGTTTGATTATTTTCTCTGACATTGTTGTTTGATTTGAACCTGCCTCATCAGGAATAAAAATAAATAAGGACACAAAACGTTGACTGGTTCTCTGGCACTGAATGTGTGCGTGGTTGGTATAGAGAAAAGAAAATAAAGCCCGGTTAGTTAATGAAAGGAAGAAGTAATTTGCGTAAATAGATCTTGAGAACAAGAAACAGAACGCGCAGGAAAAGCCCGCCGCCACCGGCAACCACTGAATCACTGTACCTTCACAGACTCGCGGGGACTGGGAAGCGGGGAGTGGGTGAGTCATCGAGGACGCCCCCGGGTTCGCACAGCCCTAAAAGCCTGGATGGAGGCGCACATCAAACAGCGGGGAGCTGGGCTTCCCTTTATTTGATCATCAAAGGAATGGATAAATCAGCAAGGCGTTGATGCCTGCATCCCAGGTAGCTGAGACCTTTGGAAAGGTGTTTGCACTTCGCTGTGGCTTTTTCTGAAAGTGACCGACAGCAGCCTGCAAAAGAAAGGCTCTTACCTGCTGGCAGGCACAACTGTTGCTTGTGCCTGGACCGGTAGACATGGTGGGAGCGCGAACACTCGCACGGGCCTGGCACCTCCAGCCCAGGGGGGCGCGCCGGGCGGTGTCCTTTCCCACAGAGGTGGTGGCTGAAGACTGCGGGGGTCAGCAGGGCTATTTATTCTTCAGCCTCAGAGAGCATCCCGGGTGACTCTCCTATGGGTCCGCGAGAGTGTTCAGGCGTCACAGCCTGCAGGAAAGGGAAATGCCCCCTGAAAGTACCTTTTCAGCTGCCAAGGGATTAGGTTGCAATATTGCTGTGTGCATCTGCAAATTTCATACACAAATGGGGGGACAACTGGTAAGAAACTCTTCTGTAGATCTCTTATTTCATTTCATTAGTATTCTCTGCCACCTCCCCGTTAGCTCCCACGCTCACCTGAAGTTGACATTTACTGAAACTTTACACAGTCTTTATAGTATCCAGTCTTGTCTTCTTCCTTCCTAAAGTTAGGCTGCCTGAGAACTTGGCTTTCTTTGGAGTTAGCCAAGGATCACCGTCAATGCCAAAGCACAAAATTACCGTGTGTACAGAGGTATGCTTTAAGGGAATCTTCCGCCAGGGCAGATGTGGAATACTAATTTGCACATAGTGAGTCATAGATATAGCTCAATTTTACTTATCACTTGAATGTAATGTAAAAACGAGACCTAACAGGCTTTTTTCTTCTCCCTTCATGTTACAAGTTGTGGAAATTAAGTAAATACTCTGCCTCTACCTTGCTGCAGGGAGAATATCATTAGCGAATTTGTGGCATCACATTTTACCTTTGTACCCTAGAAGGGCCTTTAGCAACATCTTTCAGTGCAAAAATAGGGGCATAAAATGTCAGTGTGTATTTAAAAAAAAATGGAAATTTCTGGTGATCTGGAGGTAGGAGCTCTGCTGACCCAGGGGAGGTTCAGATGAGGGCTGTCTTCCACTCTTCACTAGACATCAGGCCCCCCCCCCCCCCCACCCTTGACTCACAAATCTCAACTTTTCAGAGCCTGGGTTTCCTATCTCTGTCCTGTTACTCAGGATCCCATTCCTTTTCTTGTTATCCTCTCCACTTGCCAACCACCGGGTAACTTACAGTGCCCTGAAGGGGTAACTTAGGAAACATTTCTCTATCCCCCTCCCCCACCAAAACTTATCAGGTTTTCTCCAGGCATCATTAGGTCCCAAGGGTTGATAGACAAACTTATTCATACGAAGTGCTAATGGATGGCTTACTGTGTTCTCCTGTCCAGTCTATTATAGTTCCTTTAAAGCTGATGTTTCCAATGCCTTCGAAAAAGGTGGAACCAGAAGTGGAGATTCTAGATGGCTTTGTCACAAGGAGAGATATTTTGGGGGAGGTTGCTAATAAAGGGCCTTTCAACTACAATAATGTCTTATCTGTCTATTGGTTCCACTGGCCAGGAGCCACCTTTAGTAGTGAGCGAATTGCTGTCCTTCATATGAGCAAGTGAAACCCCTTCTCCAAAAGGACTTTTACTTGGAAGTCTAATATGTGAAATAAATTTAAAAAGAAATGCCTTGGGTGATAGGATGGTGGTGGACTTATTACCTGAAAATGAAGCTAGGAGCAGCCCAGCATCCTTGTCTCTTTCACTTCTTGGGAGTACAGTTTGAAAATCATTATTTTGCATGAGGCCAATATGGAAGATGTTGACATCACTGTTGACGTAAGAAACAACCAGTTGGAGGTAGGGAGAAATTGTGTAAGAAGCATTATCAGTGACCATGAATGAAAATAATCCCATGTATGTACATAATATGTATAGAATTAATAGGTCCCACATTCATACATAGATTCATAACTATGTTTATAAACAATGATTGCTGGAAAAGGGTTCACTTTTATGTCTTCCTCGAACCAAGGGTCTGGTAATGTCACCATCTGTGTTGAGGAATGTACACTAGAAAATCAAGGTCTGGGAAGAGAGCCACGGGAATGAAATTCTGTGAAAGTCGTGGAGATATTTTTCTCTGTTATCCCCATTCGCAACAGGTCAGACCGTACTGATAACAGCTGCAGAAACAATTGGGGACCTTATTCATAAAATCAAAGGCACAATGCCAGATGGCGACCAACCAAAGGAATTGGGGATGGAGAGGATTACAAAATGCTGGTGAAACAGGGAACAAGTCCTCTGGGGAATAAACATCCCTGTGTTTTTTGCTACAACATAGAAATCAAATATTTTTGCGTGGAAAAGCGCAACCAGTACAGTATAAATTGAAAACAACAAGTGTTTGTTAATTAGAAAGTTTATTCATGGAGAAAAACAATTTTCTTAGTAGAGAGTTTGACGGGCTGTTCAGGCTGCTCTGTCATTTTTCTTGTCTCTCTTCATAATCTCTATGTAATCCAGAAACAGCCAGTAAAAAAAGAGAATCTCTGCTTCTTTAATTACTTCCTGTAAATTTGACAAGTACCACCTCAGTCTCATTGGCTAGTCTACGTAGAAATAGACCACTCTCTCAAAGACAACATAATTATTCGGGTACACCTACTTCCCCAGCTATATATCATGCCTATCAAAGCTAAGTGCTTCCAACCTGCCTTAACAGTATCTTAACATCTCACTTGAGCAGTAGCCTTACCCGTTAAATTTTACTTAATTCCTTAGCTGGTAAATGTTCAAGCCACTGACGATAATATAGACCCACGGTCGGAAATAAAACCCAAAATGAAATCTATCAAAATAGAGGATACAAAATAAAATCGGTCTTTGTGATGAATCAGAATTATTGAATCCTACTTAATCCCACTCAGTCTTGAATATTTTGTAACTTACTACGTTATACTTTATACTTTACAACTTTATACTTATGAGACTCTTCTTGGTGAAAGGCCCATAGGAATAAAAGTAAGCTTATAACAATTTTATATGTGTGTGTTTAGTTGGGAAGGAAATATACCATTAAGAAAAATAACCAAAACCAGAAGTATATTACAATTCTGGTGATTTAATGAGTTACTAAAGTTCTTAATCCCGAAATACTAGTATTTTCCATAGAGTTCTCAGAAGAAAAAAATCAAATATTTTAAAGTGTTAGTGCTGATAGATAAAATAATTTAGATTGACTCTTTAAAACTAGAGTTTTACTTTTTATAAAGTTTATTTATTTATTTTGAGACACAGAGAGTATGAGCAGGGGAGGGGCAGAGAGAGAGGGCGAGAGAGAGACAATCCCAAGCAGGCTCCCTGCAGTTGACATGGGGCTTGAACCCACCAACCAGGAGATTATGACCTGAGCCGAATCAAGAGTCGGACGCTTAACCCACTGAGCCACCCAGGAGTCGCTAGAATTTTAGTTATTGGTTCAAGAGCCTATTTCCTAAGAAAAATTAGACCTTTATAATTGATATTGAAACTGTGAGCATTATTTTCAATGCAAGGCTAGTTAGAAATATCCCAACTGAAGGGACATGTGTGCCATGGACATTAAAGTTCTGTTTTGTATACTGTGAACTCAGGGAAATAGCTGGCACCTATGACACCAGTTTGATCCACCCAATGTGATAGTTAAGACTCTTTACTGGATTTTGAAGGATTCTAGCTTATCTCCTTTGGCTCTCTATTGACCCTGTAAAGCCTTTGATGACAAACATGTACTTGATTATGTACTGCGTTCAGGTTACTATTGGAGGCATAGTGCTGGGTTATGGATTCCAGCGCTTGACCCCTGAGTATTACTTTATAGCTTTATGTAAAAAAATATTTGGGTTTTTTTTTTGGTTTGTTTCACAGTTTGGTATACACATTGAAAATAATAAGAAGAAGCTGGGGGGTATCAGGAAGCAATAACAAGGTGGGTGGGCTCTCATGTCATGTCTAATATGTGCTACGTGAAGTGGAGACGAACACAGTTACGAAACGAAAGTTTCGCAAACATGCCTTCAGTGAATTTGGAATGCTGCAGAAATGGGAGATTTCTAAAAGGAAACAGAATCGTCCATTACAAATCCGTGATTCTGTTAATCTTTGTATCAGCAGATGTATCAGAACCAAAGGAAATATGGTAATATGTGCTCGTATCTGGAACACATTAAACTATTGCAGTAAAACAATGCACATCTGCATATGTGATTAGTCATGCTTTAATTTTCCTTTAGTGGCTGTGGATGGGGAGGAAGTGTTTGAAAAAAAACCTACCGCTTACTTTTTTTATCCTTCTTAATTGAGGAGGAAGGTGGTGGAGAGTCAGTCTTACCATTGAATAGTCTATCCCAAACTTGAAAGAAAGAATGGCACAATCAATCAAGGAATATTTGTGTGACAGATATTTCTATAAGGAAGCGAAGGCACACAGTCTCCATAAGTGGGAAGATAATATGTAAGTACTCAAAATGTTAAATAACTATAAAGGAGATAAGTAGATACATATTTGCTTGGTACAAAATGCTGAACATATCAAAAGTCAGTAAATTTTATTTGCTTCTAATAAAATATCTCTAGAAGGATACACAAGAAGCTGATAATGTTGGTTGCTTCCAAGAGGAACTTAACTGGTTGAAGGATGGGGTGGGAAGAGAGACACTTTTCTTTATATACACTTTTGCACCCCTTGCATTTTGTTTTGTTTTTTTTTTTTAATTTTTTTTTCAACGTTTATTTATTTTTGGGACAGAGAGAGACAGAGCATGAACGGCGGAGGGGCAGAGAGAGAGGGAGACACAGAATCAGAAACAGGCTCCAGGCTCTGAGCCATCAGCCCAGAGCCTGATGCGGGGCTCGAACTCCCGGACCGCGAGATCGTGACCTGGCTGAAGTCGGACGCTTAACCGACTGCGCCACCCAGGCGCCCCATCCCCTTGCATTTTGAATACCAAGAATGTATTATGAAGCTGCATCAAAACTAACCAAATAAAATAAATAACGTTCTGAAATAATGTTCAGATGGACACCATATACTTGGAATTCTTTGTTGGGTCTTAATGAAGAAATAGCATTTGGACTCAATATTAAAAGATAGATATTTGAATGGGCTGAAATGAGGGGGTAGCATTCCAGGCAGGGCAATTATGCAAAGGTCCTAGGAAGGTAAATATAAGACCCTTGTGGTCTCAGTAAGTAGATCAGGCAGACTATAAATAATTTGGGAGGTATGGCAAGAGATTAAGGTACAGATTATGAAGGGCTTTGAATGCCAGGATAAGGCATTAATAATACAAACAGCAAGAAGCTTTTTTAGTGTGAATTGGGAAATATTGGAGCCAATGTAACATTCCAGGCAAGGAAGTTGGGGTGTAGGTGTTGGGGTCAGTTTGTAAAGCTCAGAGCAAAGAGATGGAGACAAAGTCACGGCGACTGGAGCCTGAGGAGAGGGGGAGGCTGAATGCTGGAGGCTCCCCAGAGAAAGTGTCCTCATCAGTATCTGATTCTTAAGGATCAAAAAAAAAAAAAAAAAAAAATGAGGGTTGAGAAAATGTTATCTCATTTATTGATTTGTAAGTAGTTATTGAGAAAGTATAAACCATGTATTTTTTGAGTGTACATTTTCATGAGAATGGAGGGGCGGGAGTAGTAAAAGTGGTAAGAAAACGAAGGAAGCACTCATTAAAA